CGTCAATGCATCCTATCCTATCCTATTATTATTACTCCTATTAGTATTACTACCATTACTACTACTATTATTACCAATATTATTACTATTACTTTACTACTACTACTATTACTATTACGGCTACTACTACTACTATTACTACTACTATTACTATTATTACTACTATTACTACTACTACTACTACTACTATTACTACTATTAATATTACTATTATTACTACTATTACTATTATTACTACTACTACTACTACTATTATTACTACTGCTACTATATTACTGTTACTAGTATTATTATTACTATTACTCCTATTAGTATTACTACCACTACTACTACTATTAATACCAGTATTATTATTACTACTACTACTACTACTACTATTACTATTACTACTACTACTATTACTACTATTATTATTACTAGTACTACTACTACTACTACTACTACTACTACTACTACTCCGCCACTGCAACAACTACTACTACTACTACTACTACTACTGTCTCAAGATCAAGTTATCTTACTTATGTGATTATGTGGTTTAGGCATGTTCTGAGACAGTCTTTTGAAACTAAGTGTTCGTACTTGGGTTACGGGTGGTGGACTGTGGGGTGGGGGTTATGATGACGTATGTACATACAACTACAGCGTCATCATCACCAGACCCATGGTTGCTTGAACCATAAGATCGTCGCCATGATCTGCAAACTCGAAACCCTCAAATTGTTACCCTCGTGATTGCACCACTTGGAAGCCCGAAAACGTCGTAAATACTGATGAGAGCTCTTCCCAAGGGCCACGAAACATACAGCTACAGATTCACTATCATCAGAGTTATGGTTGCTTGAACCAGGATGAAACTATATAGTAGTGTAGTCGTATAGTAGAATAGTAGTATCGAATATTCTGGTATTGTAGTACTGTAGTATTATAGTGCTAGTACTATATTCGCAGCAGTGCAGGGGTACAGCAGTAGTTTTGAGTAGTATAGCAGCAGTACAATGATAGTATAGTAGCAACTCAGTGACCCTAGATGGATGCAGGTGGCTGGCATCTGACAAGTATTCTACACGGATGCAAACAGTGATAAGCTGCTTCTCGTCAGTCCGTCAGGACACCTGCTGCAGGACAATGATATTGCTCTTTGAATCTTCATATACGCAAATCAGAGCTGCAGCCGCATTCAGTACGCTCGCTCATGCAAACTGTGCAGACTTGCTTTAGAAGCACTTTGTGTTGATCGTAACACAAGCACCTACTCCTATGTTTCGTGACACAGCAGCCCATCACGGTCCCTAAGAAGTCCAAATCACGTCTTTGGGCTTTTGCTGAGGCAATGATGGCGATCATTGGTATGTTTTTCCAGGACTTGCAGCACAGCGTTGAACTAGCCAACGCCGGGAACAAAAACTACAAAATGACGGGCTTTGTCATGCGACCAAAGAAGAAGCTAGTGCAGGATGCGAATGATTGGAAAATTTCAACAGATTAACAGCACGATCACTGAAGGTTCTAATCGCTTTGTAGCCCCAGGCGCACCCTCAACGCAAAAACCAGCACTGCCCAACTTGAAATCTTGATGTATCAAAAAGAGAGTCAGACCTTCTAGCGCTGCAGCCTGTGGGCCTGCCGAATGCATCCTGTTCAGGGCACTGTAATCTCATAGCAAGTACAACTTAGAAAAGCATGTGTTTGTTTAGGCTGGTGCTGATGTCATGCCTGGTACAGGTTGCTGTTTGGTAATGCGCGAAACACAATTTCTCATTGGGTGGCTATCTGTATCATTACCTACAGCACCAAATTTACGTCAATCCCTATCCTAAGTTCCATGGCCCCATGTCGCACCCTCAACTTTCCTGACTCGTCCCAAACCCTCGAACCCCAGCCCTAAGTTCCAATCCAAGATTGTAAAACCGTGGAACATGATTCAGCTCTCAACCCGATCTCCGACGCAGATCCTTCAGGACGGCCTCACTGGCTCTGCTTGGGGAGACTGGGCAAATTACACAGACTCGCCTCTTCGTGCTTTCGAGGCACGGGGTGGGTGGCAAATTGGCTGCTTTCGGTAGGATCTCAGATCTCCAGTTGCATCTGATGTCGGTTCGGAGTCTAGACCGTCTAGGGTAAAGGCATTCGCTTTCGCACACGGGATGTACGTAAGTTGTTACAGTTTGAACGTCAAATGCGTCATAACTTCATGACCTCAGGGGTTTGCCATGTTTGGTGAGTCTTTCATGCTCATACTACTGCAAGCTTGAGGCTTCGTTTGTCAAGCCAGTGTTCAAGCCCTAAGCGGAGTTAAGAGGTAGCTGCTTGAAACCCCAGCCAGAGCACTCGAGCACCTGGAAGCCCGAGCTTTGTTTCAGTACCCTAGAGTGGGAGGGCAACTCGACGAAGGCAAAAGGCCGAACTCAGAAGCTATAAAAAAGCATCCGACAACAGGAAGAGCTTGGAGTCCAGGCGCCTGTCGGCCCTCCGAAAGCATTTGCGGTGCGGAGATTCACAGTCTTTTTGACTGATAGGCGTAAGATTTTGGAGCTTAATTACTGCCTCAAGTGAGGTGTACCGCTTGCATTTCAGGACAGCGTCAGCATTAGGCATTGGTTTCATCGCCACCCTTAGGAGGAAATGAGGAAATAGATTCGTGGCCTGAAAAGTCCAATGCTTCTGTGACCAATAATTACTGATTTTGTTGAGATGGGCTGGCCGAAAAGACAAGGCTGCCGGACATGAAACTGGGATTCGCGCTGGCCAACGGCTTTCAGGGGGGCTTGAAATCGAAAGTTTCCGGATTCCACAGGGTGAGGTGTACAATGTGTTCTTGCAGGGGTTCGATTTGCCGGGGAGTCCAGACGAGTGGACTGCGGGCACGGGTTTAGAGGGATTAGTGCATCGTCGTAGGCACATCGTAGGTTTAGCATCGAAGTACTCAAGCGGGTGCAGTGATTTCCTCCATGCCTGCAGTGTTTATAAGAACAGCACGACGTCGACCAGCACGACAGATTAGTACTATCTGATGCTACCTACTATCCAAGGCCTATAGACACCCGAAGCTCAAGCAGACTCTTCGAATTTCAGGCTTTTGGGACCCAGTTGGCTACACCCGCGATGGCAGCGCGGAAACCTTTAAGCGACGCCGCGAGACGGAGATCAAGCACGGGCGAGTGGCAATGTACGTGGCTGGGAGTCAACTTGTGCTGTCAGGGGGTGCTAGGGAAGTCCAGGCTTGCGGAGACCAGTAGTGTTTGTGCCTGACTACCATAGTGGAATCTGTTCTAGCCTGCGATCCCGTAGAATCTGCGCCGGTGCGGCATGCTATCAACTCCAAAGGACTTCGCTCGGGAGGCCCAATTTTTGTGGGAATTTACTTTTTGCACATGCGGGTATTTTGTGGCTTTTGGACTCGTCCGCTTCTTGCTATTGTGCTTCTGCACATCTCTAGCACGAGCTGTCATTATCTGCAACTGCACTTTTGCCTTTCCGGGCAAATAGGTGTGGGTGCTTAAAACATATGATTAACCGGACTCGCCAACTGAGGGGGGCGTGTTTGAGATGTATGAAAACCGGAATTGCCAAATGAGGGGGCGTGTGTAAGATATATGGTGAGCCGGAATCGCCAAATGACGGGGCATATTCAAGACATATGATGAATCGGAATCGCCAAGTGAGGGCGGCGTGTAAGATATATGATGAAACGGAATCACCAAATCGAGTGTGTGTTTTAGACATGTGATGAGCCGGAGCCGCCGAGTTAAGGGGACGTGTTTAAGATGTATGATGAAGCGGAGTCGCCAAATGAGGGGGCATGTTTCAGATATGATGAATCTGAGCCGCGTGAGGGGGGGTGTTTAAGATGTATCATGAACCGGAATCGCCGTTATTCCCTAACCGCTTGCTTCAAAACAAGACCCTGCAAATCGGAATTCCCCAAGTGCTTGATGCAAAACGGAACCTTCACAAAGTGGAATTCCTCACTAGCTTGTTGCAAAGCAGGCAGAACTCCACAAACTGTAATTCCCCAATGGCTTGATGGGCCTGGAAGTTGTAATTCCCACTAGCTTGATGCAAAGCAAGACCCTGCAAATCGAAATTCCCCACTAGCTTGATGTAAAGCAGAACCCCACAATTTGTAAGCACCCGACAGCTTCACGCAAAACAGGAGCATGGAAATTATAATTCTCTAGTTTAATAGCTTGACGCAAAACAGGAGCCTGGAAATTGTAATCCCCCAATAGCGTGATGCAGGCTGTAACACAGGAGTTAATCCATTCTTTTGAGGCATTTTTCGATTTCTGTTGAACCCTGCATTTGATTTTGGCTGATGCATTTCAATTTGTTTGATGCCACACCCCCGAGTGCCAAGCACTAGCCGATTCCGGACCGGACCTGGCAGCAACCATTAGTCTCTGCACTCTTGATGCAACCCGGCAGTACTTATGGACCAACATTGTTTTTTGCAAGTACTGGCGCATCCCGGAGCACGGCCAAATGCTGTCCTCCGAGTATACTGCGAGCATGGCAACATGCTGTGCCTCGAGTACTGCCGTTCCCAGAGCATGGCCGGCGGTTCACTGCGCAGGCGCTCGACGACCCCCCCACCACAAAAGAAATACCCACCGACCCAAAAAAACATCCCACAGAAATTCGGCAGGCCTTCATTAGATGCCTCGAAACTCTCAAGCTCCGACCAGACGCAGCATTTGGCTCAGTCAACTCTACACTCAAACGCATGCCTTGAATCTCAGAGGCTACTGTTGGTTACATTGTGCCGGAGTACTTCAAATGGCCTGGCTTCCTCTCGCCCTCTTTGGGCCTGCTTCTGGGCAGAAGGTGCAACATGTCCAGGGTAAATCTGCTGAGTCTTTGGTGAGTCTTCAGCAGATACGTGTTCCGGGTTGTCTTCGTGAACGAGCCCTTTCCACAGCACTGAGGCAGCCTCTCACTTCCGCCATGACATGTATCAGCCTTGTCCGACTGTACCGTAAAGCTTGAAGATGGCTATTAACTCAAGCAGTCGGTGCCTTCAGACATCGAGAAGACCCGGAAGTCCTACACCTCAAAGCACGCGGCCTTCATCCTCAACTGTTTCGGCTCAGGCTCAAGTCGGCTCCCCACCAGTTTATGTTGAACAGTCATGTGCGTTTGGAGTTTAAGGATTGAGGATGATCTGATTCCGTTTCACGGACGGAATCGGAGACAGGGCCAACATGGGTTGGAACTTTAGAGTTAGATGAGGGATCAGGTTAACGGAGCGGCTTGGGTCCTCAAGATGAACGAAAGGTCCAGGGTTGTGGTTCGCGCAGGTTCCTTTGCGATTCGGATTTTTTTCGGATCCCATGCCAAGGAAGTTCTCGGACGTGCCAAACGGCCTTGCGGCCATTTCCAAGGCAGAGAGTTTGGCTTTTTAGGAAATTTCTATTGGGGCAGCCGTGGGCAGTGTAAGTTGTTCTCTTTTGGTAGTCTGGAATTCTCTCCCTAATGTTCCAGAATCTCGCGTTCGTGCTTTGAGAAGACGTCCTAGACCTCCCAAGCCGAAATCTCGAAAAAGCCTCTCGTTTCCCGGCCACCCAAGCCTCTAGACCTTGGCCATATTGGCGTTTCAGGTTTGTTGTTTGATTACAGACCGGACGATTGGGGAACCGAGAAAGTACAAGCTTCTAATGCGATTTCGCCGTGGGAATTCTCACTCGCTTCGTGAGCTTGGAGCTGAAGGGGCGTAAAGAACCCTTGCTTAGAAGCTAGACACGGTAAATCCCAACTGTGAATGAGATCCGTCAGGCTGTAAGGTTGCATCTAAGCCCAGCGTCGTATGCTAGCCTTCACGTCAAAACCGAAAGTGTTGAACACATTTTCGGCAAGGGACATTGCAAACCGAAGAAGACTTGTGCGCAATAGGAGCGTAGTGCGAATATCCGAGGTTTGTGCAAGGCACTTTCGAGTTGCTGCATCGCCGCGTTCTTGCCGCTGCAGTTTCTATGAGATAAAATGTTGCTGCCATGCTACACCCTTGTTGCTGCATCCCCTGCCACTTTTTCACGATGTTCGTAACAGGCTGGCACACCAAGTCTCAAGCATGCTATCAAGGTCTCAGCCAAGCAGCCCTTGTGACCCGAAGCTGAAACTGCAGGTTCCGGGCGCCGGTTGGGCTCAGATTGTCGCTTTCGCAGGCCCATTCTTTAAAGTCAGGGTTTGGGACCGAATTGTGGTGTCCAGTCTGCTTTTGTGGGAAAGGTGACGTTTTAACGACTCATGCATGAAACGCATCATGTCAATTCAGGGCTCGATAGCTCGAAGTTTCCTTTTGTTAGCGAGGTAGGGGCTTAGTATCTCTCTCTCTCTCTCTCTCACTCACTCACTCACTCACTCACTCACTCACTCACTCACTCACTCACTCACTCACACTCACTCACACTCACTCAC